GGGTAAATACTTACCACCCACTCCCATTAACCCAGTGGCTAGAGAAACCCACCCTTACCTGCCCTGATTACTGGCTACTTCCAGGAGAGCCTAGCCACCTCCAAAAGCTCACCTCTAGCAGAATCAGAGGCTAAAGCTCACCCACCCAGTGCCTGAAGTGCTGACAGATCTTTTCCACACTGAACACAACAGTCACATCTCTGCAGCCTTTTCTCAGAAGCACCCACTTGCGTCAGGCACTTCCCACCCCTGCAAGGAGAAAGACCTGCGTTGGGGTGGTTGAAGAAGTTCATTTCAGAGTGGCTTGATCACTAGAGTCTTGGGAGAAACTGGATAAATGTGCCCAGAAGGGTGCTAGACCCACACCAGTCAACCGCAACTGGTAACTACTCTCTCCTTTCCAAAAAACACATCTTCCTCATGAATAGAAGCAAAGCCTCTTCCTACCACCACCTGCTGGCAGCTAAGGAAGCCCCACTCAGATCCCCTGACCACCTCCTCTACAGCCCACCTGCTCTCAGAAATTCACTCCAAACAAACCCAGGGGGTGTGGTGCTCCTCTCCCATGCTTACATCACTGGATGATCTTTCTCACACTGAGCACAAGAGGGACACACTTGCAGCCTCCTTTCTTGGAGGTGCCCACTCCCACAAGGCTCCTTTCACCTCCATATGCACAAGCATCAGTGGATCAGCAGTTTGTGTCATGACCATTTGCTCACAGAGCTGTCGGCTGACCATAACTACAAAGGCCCACCTCCTCAGCTTCTTTATTTTTCCCTTATTTTTCTCACTTTTATTTTTCCCAAGTTTTCTTCCTTTTTATCTGTTCATCTCTCTTTCTCTTCTTCATCTTTTATTTTTACCCTCTTTCATCTCATCCACCCCTTTTCTTTTTCTATTTTTTATATCTTTATTCTTATTCTTATTATTTTTTTCTTTTTCTTCTTCTTCTGCTAGTTTTGTTTGTTTTCCTGCCCCATCCAACAGGAGGAGGATATTGACTAATATCTACTGCACTAATGACCTCACCCAACAGAGAAGCGCTATCATCAACTCCTGCTAAATCAATGACAGATGGTGGGCAACACCACCTCATCCCAACCATGCATCCTCTATACAACAGGTAACTATGGCCACATTACCACCACTTATTCCACCAACCCAGAGACAGCTGGAGAGTGTGCTAATGTTTCCAAGCTAATAACCAAAGAAGTGCATTTGTGCCACCCATCCAGACACACTGAATAAAAGCAAAACAAAAAACCAGGGTGAAACAAACCAACATATGAGCAAGAAATAAAAACAGCAACTTCAAAATGTCTTTGAAAGAGAACTTCAAACAAAGTACAGGATAAGATAGTAGAAGCATCCAACCAAAATTTCTGAGGAAGAACAGGTAATAGAATTGTCTGGTAAGGAATTAAAAAAATAAAATAAAATATATATACATATATATATATATACACATATATATATGTATATATACATATATATATGTATATATATATATACATATATATATACATATATATATGTATATATATATATGTAAGCTCTGGTAGCTTAGTGCCTAAGGTACGTGACTGCTAACCAGAAGGCAGGCAGTTCAAACCCACCAGCCACTCCTCGGAAGGAAGGTGGGGCAATCTACTTCCGTAGTGATACCACCTCAGAAGGAGGGGTTGCTATGAGCCTCATCTTCCTCCCACAGAGTGAGTCCCTGACTTCACCAAGCTTAGATAAAATCAATGTAATGGTGTAATAGAAAGTTATGAGACCTCTATAACTTTATAAAACAGCCATTAACTATAATATCAGCCCATAAAATTTCAAAAGCTAGAAATGTTAAAGTCCAACATTTCACCTTAAGTAGCATTTAAAATTTATCCTTGAATCGATCCTCTGAAATACACCAAAGCCACCTTATCCTATTAGGAAGCACTGCATTAAGTTACACTTTCAAGAAAACACTTAATAGAGACCAAAAAGGAAATGACCACAGGTAAACTCCTCTCTGCTTATTTACATGGATCAGAGAATGTCAGAAGGGACTATGTTGCTCAGAGATGCAGAAAGCAGAGGTAAAGTCAACATACCAAGTCACCTAGTTCTTATGAGGGTACTCTGTACCTTCCACTTTGGCCAATACAATGCAGAACTATAGAAATTTAGAGATGACAAGAACTAAGGAGACAAATCAATTGATTTTGAGATGCAAGAATAGAGTCAAACATACAATAATCATGAAGATAGTGCAGGACCAGACAATGTTTTGTTGTTATACATAAGGTTGCCATGAGTTGCAACTAATAATAATAACAATTTTATTGGAATATTAAGACTTACATGTGGGGAAAAATTAGAAAACAATACTACACATAAATAAGCAGAGACTGAGAGATGCTGTAAAAATTCAGAGAAAGGATAAACAAATTTGGATTGGAGTTGTTCAGCAAAGACTTTAGGAAGAATATGGGATTTTAGGAGGTCTATAGGAGAAGCAAAGTGGTGAAGACTGGCAGAAAGTCATTTCATTCCAGGATAGTATGAACATGTTTTTTTTCAGCTTTTCTCAGGGAAAATAAGAAGCTTATGGAACAACAGGAGCTCTGGTAGCATAGTGGCTAAAACACTTGCCTGCTAACCAGACAGCTGGTGGTTCAAACCCACCAGCCACTCCTCGGAAGGAAGGTTGGACAATCCTACTTCCGTAGTGATACTGCCTTGGAAACCCAAGGAGGGTCGCTATGAGTCAGGGCCGACTCGACGGCACATGACAACAACAACAACAACAACATGGATCAACAACGATGAAGAGACTCGTCTCGTCTCCTTGAGGAAGAGACCAGCAGCCTTGGGGAGGTGGGTGACGCATGGCTGAGGGCTGGGTAGGCAGGCCAGCTCAGATTTGGTTCCATGTAGTAGAAGGCAACCACTGAGGTTTCTTGAGCAACAGACCATACTTCCTAAGTTGGGTCATAATATTAAAAACAAAACAAGACAGAGCAAAAACAGTGCTTTGGGAAGATTAGTCTGGAATTTGACTGGTAAGTGGATGGGTTGGATAGGGAGGGGACAGATAAGAAATGCTGTGGTCATGCAGGTACAAATTATAAAAGCCTGGAATGGGAGGTGGTAATAAGATTGGGGAAGAAAAGATGAATCTAAGAAGTTTTAAAAAGAAAAACTATTAGGATTCAGTGGTTAATTAGTCAGGAATAGGGATGAGGGATGGGAGGTGTGGGTGGGAAAGCGATTAACACTAGGAAATGATAGGATCTTTGACAAATGTCTTTGTCCTGGCTCTCGAACACTTAATGAGCTAGAATTAAGAAGGCAGGCAAAAGATGGTGAAATGGAGCTGGTTTTCGGAGTAGGTGAAATATTTTTTCTTAGACCCCCCTTAGTGTGAAGCACTAATAGTATAGACATCCAAACTGGAATTTGGTTGTGATTTGAACATCAATCCTGACTACAGACACAACTGTCTTTTAGTTGACAGTTTTTAATATAGAGTAAACTGAGGCATAGAGTTCCTAAGCAGATTTTTTTTTTTAACTGTGGTACTCTAGTTCCACACAAGCACTTTTTGTTTGCTTTCTTTTATTTGTTCCTTCCATAAAATTTTATTAACTGAAACCAGTAGTCACTTTGATGTGTGCAAGCACACTAAAGCTGCATTCAGAGCTAAATCAATATAAGTCCCAATCAAAAGGGCATATGAGTACAATAAATGGTCAGTGAAGAGGTAGCAGCCCCCCAGGGCTCTGTGGTCTCAATTTCCTCTCCTCATCATTTCAGATTGTCACCTTTGGACCATGCATCACCTTTGCTTTCCAAAATCAACACTATGATTCCAAGGATTAGAGTACAGTTAGTCCCCAAGTTATAACGAGGATCTATTCCAATGACTCCATCAGCAGTCAGTTCTGATGTAAGTTGAATAGTTTTTTTAAAAAAATATTTATACCTTTTATTATCGGTATCTTTATAAATCCAATCTTTATTTGTCTTTGAGGATTGGAAACATTACAAAAAAACTTACAGATAAGATGGCATCAGCAAATTACACGAGAACATTGTATGTAGTACACATTATTAATGATGAGATGTACAAAACAAAAGTCTAAGTGTGGTTCATGGTACCTCAAATACATCGTAAGTCAGGGACTACTTTTATTTAGTTTCGTTTCTGAAATAAGATTTTTAGATGGCATCCTACATTTTCATCAAAAATCCCAAACAATTAGCATCCTCAAAAGAGTCCTTATTTTTATCTTCTAAAATTAAAAAAAAAAAAAAAAGTTTGCATAGTTCCAAAACGCCCCCTCCCCCCAACAATCTGTTTTTCTCCCATTCATTCACACTTCATTCATCAGAATGTGGTAAGAAGGGTTTGAAAGACAAGGGCTTGGTCATAAGATTGGTCTTTAAATAGTTAAAAATGTGTATTTGCCATTTGGTAGGGTGATTTGTCCTTTAAGATGGAGAATGAGCCTATAAAAAAACTGAAGTGTGAATATGAACATGGCAAAATGTGTTTGCTTTTCTTGGATAAATCTGCTAGTCTGTGTGTGCTATAAAATGGCATTATCCCTCCATTCGGAACCGCACTTCCTACACAACATACGCCACTCTGCCTTCTCTTTACAGACTTCCCCAAGTAGATAAAGTTAAAAATTCCTCCTGCATTTGTAGTGAAGCTAGGGCGAAATCATTAGTTTATGCCCCAATTGTGGGTCATTTGAAAAGAGTTCCAAGGTTCAGAATCTTCACAAAAGAGCATTTTACAATTAACCAACACAAAATGTTGCTACAGATACCTTCGAAATTGGGTAAGAGCAAATTGTTTAGTAACAGAGAAAGCCAAAATTCACAAACATTGAAGAAGGAAGGAAACAATGGAATTTTGTATTTAATAAAATCCAAAGGAGTTGCATGTAGAGGCACAGATGGTATAGACAAACAGACTAAGCCCAAATTAGACACATATGTACTTACAGATTAAGGAATGTCAAGTACTTCCACTGTCCACCATTTTGGAAAATCTTGGCTTTCTGTGGATTTCCTTCGGAATTGGACACATAATAATTGAGGAAAATATACCAGCCCAGAGCAAGGAAGTGGTATACACAGGTAGAAGCCTTTGTCATGTCTGAGCAGAGAACTATGAATGCCACAGGCAGCTTCTCTCTGGAGTTTGATATTACAGTTGTTCTACCGCAGGCCGGAGAGCTGTAAAACAAACTCCTCAGGACCAGGCTTATAGGACTGAGAATTTTAACCCAGACTGAGTTGCATTTCTCTCATTGGTTCCTTTTCTGATAAACTTGAGAAACAGGGTTATTGCTGGTAATAACAGATAATCTTCAGATTAGCATAAATTTCAACACTTAGGCTTTAACAAGTAGCCTTGCAAGAATGGCACTTTGAACCATTTTATTGGATCTGTGGCACAGTTAAATGACCTTACTCTGAAAATACTAACAATGTCAAATCAAATGCCATCATGGCTGGATTTTCTTTTTTACTTTTTCATTCTGGACAGAACAAGGAAGTTGTAACAATATCTCTTGAGTGAAAGAGTTGTTGTTGTTGTTGTTATGTGCCGTCGAGTCGACCCCGACTCATAGCGACCCCTCCTTGGGTTTCCGAGGCAGTATCACTACAGAAGTAGGATTGCCCAACCTTCCTTCCAAGGAGTGGCTAGTGGGTTTGAACCGCGAGCCTTCTGGTTAGCAGTCAAGTGCTTTAGCCACTATGCTACCAGAGAAGCAGGTTGATAAACTAGGGGGAAGAGATTGTTGATGTGTTTAAGAGATGAAAGGACATAAGTAGAAAGGGAAAGGGCATTATAATTTTGCTCCCGAGATCTCCAAGGCCCAATAAAATCTGAAACAACTTTGATCCTCCCAGGTTTTTTGTTTTTGTAACTGTATCTTGGAGAATGAAGGGTTAACCAGGGCTCTTTCAGACACTCCACAGGCATAGATGCTTCTGTACTCAGGAAAGGAAGAAGCATAGGAAGAGGTCTGCAGCCACAGCCCCACATACCTGAGTTTAGACACCACTGAAAGACAACGAAGGCCTCTGCATTGCCTTGGAGAAGACCAGAATTACCTACACTGGAAGGAGTGTGCAGAACTGGGCTCTGCCTCAAACTGACAGACGGGAACTGGGGGAGTTGGAAGTGTGATACCCTGTGACATCACCAGCTTGGTTCCCTGGGCAACTAACTCAGAGGGTTCTGAGCAAATCCCTAAGAAAAATGCTCCTCAAAGCAGTGCAATGTAGTTGGCATTGTTTGGTCACTTATCTGGAACTTATAGGTATTGGGAGAAAAAACTGTATGCTATAAATGGGGGCAGGGAGGGGGAGAATAAAAACAAACCTACCTCTTAACTCAATAGACTCCAGATACGAGGAACTGTAGATGGGAGGAGAAAAAAAAAAAATCTCAAATGAAAGGGTTATCCAGAAAATGGTTGACATGAAACACAGTATGGCATAGGTTAACATATATAAAAAAAAAAAAGGTAAAAACCCACCTCTCGGCCCTAGAGTCAATTGGCAAATAATGGTAGATAATAAGGAGCTCTGGTAGCGTAGTGCCTGAGGCACTTGACTGTGAACCAGAAGGCTGGCGTTTCAAACCCACCAGCCACTCCTTCGGAAGAAAGGTTGGGCAATCTACTTCCGTAGTGATACTTACTGCCTCAGAAACCCAAGGAGGGGTCGCTATGAGTTGAGTCTGACTTGATGGCACATAACAACAACAACAATACTTTTACAGTACTTACTATGTACCAGGTGTAGTTCCAAGTGTTTTGAATATGTTTACACAATATATTACTCCATTTTATAACCCCATTTTCAGGTGAGGAAATCAAAGCACAGGATCCTAAAATAACAAGTTCAAGGAAGAAACAGAGCTGCAGTCTGCACTCTTAACCAGTACACCTGACTACCAAGAATCAGTATCTGAAGGGAAAAACCTGGAACAGAATTTCAAATTCTTGTGGAATCCAGAATTTCCAGAGCCATGAGGTTGGATGAACCTCAAAACTATTGCTGAGATAATCTTTAAACCTTAAACCAAATACATTCCCTGAAGTCTTCTTTAAAACAAACAACAGTTTAGCTTAATTAGTGAGGAATCTCTGCCTTGGGCATTGTGCTCTTTCAAGAGCTATCTATACGGAGTCCAAACTACAACAGCAACCCGAAATATTGGATAGGAACCTTAGGGGGCAGTGAATTATGTTAATGTATAAAGAACAGCTCAGAAAAGGAGGGTGAGAATGGTTGCCAACTCAAAGAATATAATCAGTGTCCCTGAATTATACATGTAGAAGTTGTTGGATTGGTGTATATTTTGCTGGATATATTTGCACAGCAATACAAAATAAAATAAAAATACCATGCAACACAATTTCTTTAAAAGTCTGCTTTCCACACCCTCCAGACTCCGTTTTGAATAGTTCTCCCCTTCTTGCTGAACGCCTGTTGTTCTTGTATCTCTCCCATCAGAAAATTTTCTCAGGAAAGAATCATACGCTTTGAAACTTGGTGTTCATATGAGTTATTGTGTTATGTCTCCCAGGGTTTTTTTTTTTTTTTTTTTTAAAAAAAACATTATCTCTTTATATAAAAATCTCAAGCATGTGCCTATATATAGGGAAGGATTTGAAACAAGGATGAAGAAGGAGGAAAGACAAGAACCCAAATCTTCCAAACTCTGTGTGCTTGAACGTTGAGGTAGGCCCTTCCTGACTTGAACGTTTTTCCCTGTGTTGGTTAGCCTGATCCCCACAGATGAAGTTTCTAGATATTGATACAATTATTTAAATTTATTCAATGTTTGACATTAGAATGCAGTTTATTACTGGTATTTTAATAAAAAAATAACATGAAATCAACTCGAAGGCAGTGAGTTTTTTTTTTTTTTTTTTGGCTATATATGTATGAGGATTTGTATATGGAAACTATGTGATTTCTTAATTTAATATCCATATTTTCTTATAAAGTTTTCCATGAAAGTATTATGGAAAAGAAACTCTACACCGTGATCATATTCACATCCTCAGTTGTACTCCTGATTCTCTATTCATTGTCAAGAATAACCAAATAAATTTTTATGAAGCAGTTTGTCCATTGGTCCCCCACCCTGAGACCCAGTGGAGCTTTGGGGAATAATGACAGTGTTACCACTTAGTTATACAGCATTATATACTAGTATAACTAGTATATGCTAAGTGTGATAGTTAAGGTTGTGTGTCACCTTGCCTGGGGCCATGATTCTGAGTAGTTTAAGCAGCTGTGGTGAGGTCATTTCCATAATGAGATCTATTGTAAGGTAATCACCTCCAAGGTGGATATGCTTCTAGCAGCCCATCATCAGTTGAAAGGTAGTTTCCTCAGGGGTGTGGCTTGCTTCCAATAGCTATATGGAATCCTGGAAAAATTGTCAGACTTTCTGTTTGATCTGGATCCTGCATCTAGCTTATCATCATTCAGTTTTTGGAGCTGAACCAGCGTGCCGTGTTACATGACAGTCTTGGAACTGTTGCCTTCATAAGCCTGTGAGCCAACAATCCACCATCCACTGAAGTCAAAATCTGCTGCACTGACTGCCAATCTTGAGTTTGTCAGCCACCGCAGCTGTGTGAATCAGGAAAAGCCTCAAACTTGACATTTGACCCATAAACTTGGGATTTGCCAACCTCTACAACTATGAGCCATTTCCCTGAGATAAATTTCTTCTCTCTTT